TGTGCGAGTTTGACCTCTTTTTACAAATTCAGCCATGCGTAACTGTATAAACAAAGATAAGGAATTGTTCGGAACGTTAGACTGATTGTTGTGCTTCCTCCTCCTGTATTTACTCCACGATTAACTAAAATCGCAATGCTTAGCCTTACATAATAAAGCAATCACCTGCGAGCATAAACAATTCGAGAGAGCTCGGATAGTGTGGTCCGCGCCTTCATGCTCACGAAAGCTGTAATAAATAAAATAGGTGATGCAGATCGTAAGATTTTTCATTATCCCAGAAATGGAAGTTTATGGGATGTCAACGAAAGCGTGTATTCTTTGGTGTGGAAGCTGAATTAAGCCCTTCATAATAAAAAAACTTTTTGGTGCGAAGAATTTCTCTCTCAGTTAAAGCAACGTACGTGATATCCCTTCAAAACCAAGCATTCGTCGATAAACAATTGTAACGCGACACGAATGCACATGTGAACTCGTGTGTCTTCAATTTCACAAGTATCATAAAATACTTATTTTCATGTGAAATCATGTTGATTCAATTTCACGTGAAGTTTCATAACACACATATTTGTATGTGAACGGATGTGGATTCAATTTCACATGAAGAATGATAACATACTCATATTTGCATGTGAACTCATGGGAGTTAAATTTCACATGAAGTATCATTAAATACACACATATATGCATGTAAATTCAATTTCACACGCAGTATCATAACACAAATATTTGCATGTAAACACATGGGGGTTAAATTTCACACGAAGTATCATAAAATACACACATATTTGTATGTGAACTCATTCAATTCAAGTAGATTCAATTTCACGCGAAGTATCGTACCAGACATATTTGCACGTGAACTCATGTAGATTCAATTTTACCTAAAGTATCATAATACCAAAACAACCTATTGAACTGCCATACCATCATTGCGTATTCATAATCCAATAATAGCCCTAATTCGAGTCGTTAAATTTCACTTCAAAGATTTCCCACGACAGATCATTATCAAATATGGCGGTCAGAAAAAGGAAGCGACACCGCTGTTACGTACGCTTTACCTACATCTGCTTTGAACTCTTTATCTTTGTTTTCGACTTCCCAAATTTGGTAACAGTACCTGTCGTAATGATGCTTGTTAGCGACTTGCAATTTTTGTGACATCCTAGTTTCGGATCCGATTGATCTTAGAATAGATAAGCGAATAGGTGTCGTTTATGTTGAAAATTTTCTGCCTCAATTTTTCATGCATGTTTTAACCTAATTGGCATTCTTAAATCATCCTCATAGCCCTATTTGACACGAAATGTACCTATAGATTGTTTTGCCATTATGTTGTTGTTGTTCGTGTTGGTTTTTTTACTTATTGATTTTATTACTTATCGATTTTAATCGGTAAGTATGTTGATAGGTATTTGTCTGTCTGTATGTCTGTTTGTCTGTTAGATGCACGCGATATCTCACGGAAGCGAGATTGAATCTGCTCCAGATTTTGCATGTGCATTCATCTTATCTTGGATTAGAAGTCTATTGATTTTAGTTGCTTGAAAAAAAGGTTGAGAACCCCTGATCTGGTCCATGCACGGCGTATTTCTCAATACAATCGTAAACTTCTCTCTCATACTGCGTAAGTTTTGACGCAAAAGCTTTCTCTCACTTTAGGTTGACTACACGCATTACGCATTCTCTCAAATTTTAAAACGAGAGAATCACGCACATCTCACGTTTTCTCACTCTAAAAAAATTAAATCAAAAGAGTAACAAAGGCTTTGCCGCCAGGGGCGTAGCCGGAATATCTTAAAGAGGGATCCTGAAAATTCTAATTGCCAAGTAAGACCGTACAGCTAACGGGGGCCGGAAACGTGGGTTTCAAGAGCTTTTAGGGTCTAAAAAGCGTTTCAAGTTACGACAAATTGCTATGCACGTTACAGAATTTTTTTTACATATTATAAGGGAGTCCCGACTCCCAACCCCCCTCCTGGTTACACTCCTGGTCAATATAACAATTCCACATTTGTGGCAAATGTGCATGGATTTAAGGTAAATAAGACCCGTCTGTCTACTTATAGCACTTTCTTCTGCCTACTTTACAGTTAATATACGTTTTAGAAGAAGAGGTCTTTGGAATTGACACGGTCAGTAATGGAATTGACTTGATACTTTTTAGCGCATCGAACAGTTATTAAGCCCAGATCTCCAGTGAAAAGTAAATATTACAGTCCACACACATTCCAATCATAATCCCCCTTCTTGTAAGTAGTTTTTAATAATAAACGATACCACTGCAATACACTAATAAAAATAGACATAATACTCTAATAGGATTAACGCTTATAAGGGTATTGAACAATTTGTTGAGTTGCCTGTCTTTGCTTGAAAGCCCAAAGTAAATCACACATTCCAACCCTAATCCCCATCTCGAAAGCATTTTGAACTGACAGCCGCAATGTTATTGAACTCTAAATAATAGGTTTGAGTTAAAAATAGATTCGTCAAGTCGGGCGCCTTTTATACGGAGTTAATTACCCGTATCGCTCGGGGTTCGGATTTGGTTTATCACGGGCGGTAATTTCACTTTCTGAAAAATAGGTGAAAGAATTTGCTTTGATTTTTTATTGACGTGGGTTCGAATCCCACTCAAGACATTGGCATTTTTATTGATGAAATGGTCGATATCGATTTGTTTCTGGTGTGGGTTCGAATCCCAATGAGACCAGTATTAGCATTATTTTTATTTAAAATGGGTGGAATGGTCTACATCAATTTGTTTTTTGGCTTTTATACGAATCCTACAGGGCAGCGAATGTTTTCAAATCAAATAGGTTTTGCGTTCAAATCAAGCTAATAAACAAATTTTTTGAAATCATTGCAGTGATGAGTCTATTTTACTTCTGAGTGAGTGCCCGCGAACTTGCTTGGAGAGAGCTTTCTTCCAAAAAAAAAACAGTCACTGGTTATTTTACATATGAGCTTCGATGATGCTTCGAAGTATCAGATGAACCATAGGAGTTGTAGGTATGGTTACTAGCTTAATATAGTTTCGCGCTCAATGCAAGTGCGTAGCCATATCTTCATAGCAATTTTTCGTCTGAAACGCTTTTTAGACAATCGAGGCTTTTGAAACCCCATGTTTGACAACACCAGACCCGCTAACTTGGCAATTAGAAATTTCATATTCCCCTTAACCCCATTTAAAAATTCCTGGCTGCGGCTTCGTTGTGCGGTATTATATCTTCTAAAATTTTCGTAGGCATTTAACATTTGTTTGGAATATAATTATCGTTCACAAGTTTACGGGTATTACCTTCTGAAAGAAACTTCTTGGTTATTGTTAAGCTCCCATTCATTAAGCAAAACAAAAGAAAACATTCAGATCATTTTTTGAAAAAATTCGTCTGCGGCAAGGTTACACGCACTCGGTCAGAACTAAGGAAACTCGTACTTAGGCAAAGTTATGCAAACTTAGTTCTATGGAACCGCACTCATGCCGCCGTGTCTCTGTCAATATAATGGTTCAAGTGAAGAACAACTAATTTATCAATGTCAGCGTTTCGGTGGTGAAATTTTGTCCGTTTCTGTAACTCACGGGCGGAACTAATTGGCACCAAAGACCAGCGTTTCTCACAAAAACAAAAATGCAAATGCATGAATTATCATGTTTTCTCGATGATATTTTCAACATTGAAGTGTTTTTCTCTCACTTTACCATTCCTACTTTGATAATTACCTGATAATATTTGCAGAGGGATTCCAGGTCGTTGAGAATACCATAACATTGCTGATAATTATATCATATTGATGACGCCACGTTAACTACTAATGATACACTTATGTTTGTAACATGTTTTGGAAATTTAATTAACGGCGCTCCGGAAGTATTCGTACCAAGATGACGCACAACCTGAACAACCCTAACCTGGTACACATAGTATGTTAAGGTTGTGTGCCATCTTGGTACACATACTTCGGGAGCACCAATTTAACATGTTAGTGGCCTGTCCCTAGTTGAACACGAAGACGACCTATGGATCGTTTTGTTGTTATGTTATTTTCGCTAGAAGGTTATTATTTTTATTTATTTTAAAAATTTCTTTGGCTTTTATGGGATTCGTTTTCACAAAAGTTAAAAGTGTTCGATAAAGACTTTAGGGGGGAATTGGTGCAATCGAGGCGCTAACGTTGCTATTTTTCGTGTGACGTCACAGGGAACCTTTTCGTCAGCAACAAACCAACAACAAGTCCTAATATTATTAGGCCGCTCCGGGAGTATTTGTACCAAGATGACAAACAACCTGGACAACCCTAACCTGATACTCATACTATGTTCAGGTTGTGCGCCATCTTGGTACGAATACTTCAGGAGGTATACTTGACGAATACTTGGTACGAAAAAAGGTCACGGATTTTCACGTTAATATACCATCTTCTCTGAATTTAACGAGGTACTCCCGAAGTATGTGAACTAAGATGACGGACACCGGAACGTAGTATGTGTACCAGGTTACGGTTAGGCCATAATTTCAGGTACAAATGCTTGGAGTCACTTGGCTAGTCCCCGAACTCTTAATAGGACTACAATAAAGAAATTGGAATAAAATTATGGCCTAACCCTCATCTGGTACACATACTACGTTCCGGTGTCCGCCATCTTAGTTCACATACTTCGGGAGTATTTTTTAACTGTATATTATGACTCATATTGTGCCCATCCATTACGACGCATGCTGAGCCTCACGTATAAAGATGCAAATGCCGCTAAACATTGATATATTTGTTTGTAATGACATTGTACTTTTAATGACATTGTTGAGTCATTGTGGAAATATTTTTCCCGAAAAATCACGTGACTTCAAATATTTGTGACGCCATAGTGTATCTGATAACAATTTTCGCAAGGAACAATGCTGCCATGGCTGCCACACCCCAGATACGCCTCTGACAATAAATAAGTAAATATAAAAACGTCATATTTTTGTTGGTTTAAATTTATTCACAGTGAAATGTTCAAGGGTAGAAATCCATTGTTTTCCGCGCATTAATTTCTTGTTATGCAAATATTCCTTGCTCTGTATCTTTTAAGGCTTTTAGTTGATTGATATGCGTGTCCCATCGACTTTAGAAGGGTTAGCTATGATGTGAAGAAAAATAAAGTTAAATAAATAAAAAATGAAGTTATTGAATTGAAAAACGAAATAAATTTGATTATTGAATATGTGTTGGTGGATAGGTGTATATTCGTGTTAGAGTGGCCTTAAATGCGTTAGTCATTGTGATGAAATTGAATTAGCGCCACCTAATGTGGCCAACGCGGCACCATCGTCGAGCGATCTGAAGATGTTAATAGTCGCATGGCAAAACTTGGGTTTTATTTGGTTAGCTTGCGTCAAGGTTGCTACATCTTGTAACTTTTTCTTTTTCTTTTTTTAAAATAGCAGTGATGTTTTAATTAATAAAAGCCTAGAAAACGGTCTAAATGAGTTTTTCTCGAATGGTTTCACTACAATAAAAAAAAGAAATATATATATAGTTAGATAATCCAAACAACTGAAGTTACAGAACAAAATTGCTTTTAATGGTATGCATGTGAGTGCGTGTAGGATGTGTGTATGTGTTTGTAAGAAAACCATAAAATACGATCATCAAAAATTTAGATAGTGAACATTTAGAAAGTATGTGTGAATATGGCTTGTGTGTGTAAAGTATAAAATAAAAAACGAAAAATTCAGTTATAACTAATCATGTTTAGAACGTATGGGCGTGTTGGTGGAGTGTGTGTGTGAGAGAGGCGTACATGTTTGTTAGTAAGACCGCCGAAAATATCGCCTATCAAATCAAAGTAAAAAAAAATTCTAAAAATATTAAAGACATGTTCACCTGTGATGTAGATATATGAATTATGCGCGTGAATATAAACCACGTGACTTTGCCACACCCATTCTCTTGCTCGTATCTCATTGGTTGGTTTAGTATATGACGTATATGTCTCCCTCGTCTGTTGTGAGTGTCACTTAGGAAGCTGTAGAAAAGAAGTGGCAATGTCTTTGAAATTTGTGTTGTTTTTGATTAGTGGGCATGAAAACGCACAAATAGACAAAGGATTTGAATAAATAGGACAAGATTTACATATTTATCCCGAAGATGGGAAAGCCAACAAGACGGTTCAATCATATGGTGAACCACAGCCCCTCGTCCGGTTACCAGTCCATGTCGAATATGGGATTAGTTAGTCAGTTATATGATTCAGATGCATGTACTTGATGGTCGCAAAAGGTCAGAGTAATTTATTTGCTGAAGTTTCTGCTTTCTTTCACTCGTCTAGTAAACACTATTTAATTCTATGTTTGTTACACCGATATTGAAAATCTTTGTAAGGTTCTTACTTTTCTAATGAAGGCGGATTGCTTATCATAGTCCTTGTTCCCAACGTCCTGTTTGTTGTCACTGCTTCAATTAAGTCTTTCCATTCCACATTGGGAGGGTTGTGTCGAGTCTGGAAAACCAAAATTATCACTTAATGTTGTTGCAACATTTACACATCTTGCAATACTTGCACCATTAATCAAGGTATTTTGATTTTAATTTCAACGAGTATGTGGTTGCACTATACTTTTTATGACGTCGCAGGCTACAGATTTATAGTTCAAACTGATGAACGTGCCCACGGTGTAATAAATTTGACACGGTATGTACATACGGATCGTTTCAATAATATGTTCGTGCTGGTATTTTTCTTCTTGTTATGAAAAAAATCGCTTTTTTCCTTGAAATTTTCAGAGGGTAAAGATTGTTATTTATTGTAAATTTTTTATGGGATCTGATATTTCATCTAAAATTTTGCTGTTTTTCAAATTTCTCCGTGGGAACGCGATTTTATGACACCATGGCGGCTGGTACGGGTAATATTAGACTTTTGTGTCTATATGTCCATCATCGATTTCTTGTTTGGTCAGCGATACCAAACCGAAAAATTTCTGACTTTCGGGAATAAGTACATCCTTGGGTATCAGTGGATACATATAAATAGATTTATATGAACTGCAGGTGTCAAAATCCCTCGATAAAAAAGAAGGTAGGGCAAGAATACGGATTATTTTTGAAAATTTGAATTTATTTTAATGATATTTTCGACAGATACGTACTGCACTGTTTTACTCGTTCAGCAAGAAGCAAATTAGCTCTCTATTGACACGTAGCGGTACTAACCTTGATTAAAAATGTAAAGCCAATTCTCCCGAGTGTTGCATGCTTTTCATGAATTACACCGATCTGGAAAAAATTAAGAATTGTTAATGTTGGCGAAATATATTATGATAGATTATGTGCATATACATTTATCATTAGTGTGATTCTACTTTTATCGGATGTTATGTAATTTTAATCTCAACGAGGCTCTGGGTCATTTCAACTGGCTAGCCACTAGGGTAACAGAACAAGACTTTTCAAATTTTTTTACTCTCATATTTTTTTCATACACTTGTTACTTATCGATTTTATTCGGTAAGTATGTTGATAGGTATTTGTCTGTTTGTCTGTCTGATTTGTCTGTTAGATGCACGCGATATCTCACGAAAGCGAGATTGAATCTGCTCCAGATTTTGCATGTGTATTCATCATATGTCGTACCAGGAACCTATTGATTTTGGATGAATTATGGCGTATAATTAGCGAGTTATTATTTATTTAGTGATGGGACACAAAGTGTCACTATGGAGTAAGGGCGCTGTTTTGGGGTATCCCCTAACTTTCGATCGATTAGTCTTTGGTCTCTGACCGATATTCTCGTATTTAATATTTATTTTGTGGTGGGACACCGACAGGGTGAGAATGAGATCCACATGGTAATCCTATTTGAGAAACTCCCGTGGAATGGGATAGGACACTGTACATCTGTGTTTCACATAGCACAATGTCAACATCCCCGTCACAGCGATCTGATTACATCAGAGCTAAACTTCTTAACTTGGTCGTAGTACTCTACTACCTTTTAAATGTTTTTACTCTTTTTGTTCTTCATATACTTGTAATTATTATTTATTTTGTGATAGGAGACTGAGAGAGTTGTCCATGGGAATTGGATTCCCGTGGGGCGGGCTGGGGTAGCCCAGGCCAAAATTCTTATAGGATTAAACATGAAAAATGTCCCATGGACAAGCCTGATTTTTCATTTTCATGCAAAATTCTCAAAGTCTCAAAATCACCTCAGCTGCCTTTCTTTGTCCAGCAAATGAATGTCGAGATCCCAATCTTTTCCCGGATTTCCACTTTATGTAAATTTTATCAACGAATAATTTCTCATCTTCTACGTGTGATATCAGAGATCGCCTCGGAATGGTTTTTATTTCGACTGTAGAAACAAGAATTTATTACTGGTTGCAATGACCTAACGCAAAATGACTGGAACTGGCCAGTGGTCATTCGTTTTCCCCTAGGCCTAGGCGTATACGGAAAAATTCTAGCGAGGGAACAAGCAAAGGTCTTCAATAGGTACCATTTGCGATGACTAAATTAATTTAAATAAATTATTTGGGATTTGCTTAATTACTTTACTGTGACTGTGATTTGGTAATTTTTTGAAAGCATTTATTCAATTGCCTACATATGCTGACTTTTTGTATTAAACGCATGGACTAAACGTTCCTATCTTGTTTACATTTACAAGATGAACAGTTGATTTTGGATTCAGATTAATTAGAATAAACTTATGTTTTCTGATTTTATCGTAGAAACTTATTACTTTTTTTTATCACTATTGAAAATTAGGAAGATAATTTGGCATTCAATTATTTTTGCGTTGTTCTCTAGTTTTCTTTTACGAAATAAGCCACTGATGTTCAGTGTATTGAATAAAAATGCAGTCTTACTGTGTTCTCCCTTATTAGTAATCATCCATTTGTAGTCCAATGTTGAGGTCTCCCATCTGGCAATGTAGTTGAGACCTCTTCGATTATCACACATTGGATAGAAATGTAAAGGAACATCAACGGTCTCAGATATCAGCTGTTCAGTGCATTTTGTGTTTGAATCCTGCTGCAGACTGTCTGTTAAGTATATAAATAATGTTTATTATTAGCAATGCTGAATTACCCATTGAGCAAAATGAGCATGAGTTTAAAGCCATCAAGGGAAAGGGGGGCACCACAGAAATTTATATAGATAAATTTCATTAGTACCTCAGTGTTTAATGAAACACATATCTCAAAATTGGCCCGGTCAAAATAAAGTTCTGAAGTAGCCTATCATCTTGAACCTTTCTATCAATGTTTGTAAGTACGAGAAATGTTGCAATCGTACTAATCGTATCTTGCACGCAATTAGTATTGAATATATCGAAACTTACTCATCCGATTTCAGATAGCATAGAACGCCAGTTTCATTAAAATTATTTCTATATATAGAAAACCAAAATCCTAAGTGCGTAGGGCCCCTAAGGGCATTAAAAACACTACGTAACAGAAATTGAACAAGAAAATTCTAATTGCCAAGTTAGACAATGACATCTATCGTGTTTTATTTAAAGTCTTAAGGGTCTAAAAGCGTTCCAAGCTACGAAAAATTGCTATGTTAGATACAGGAAAATTTATTTACATTTCAGAAGAGAGGCCAGATCCTCAACCCATTGCCTACGCCTCGGGTGTTATAAGCAAATCGGAGTAGAAACAGTTTATGAGTAATACTTACCCATGAAACGTCCTGAACTTGTCATTGACGGTACAAGAATATCTAAAAACATGAAATGTAATTTTATAGTTACAGTATTTACACAAAAATATTTTTGTCTGAAGAAGATACAGTTTGATCTCATTTAAAGCTTTCAAATATGCTTGCTATTACGTTTTGCTATTGGGGTATCATAGACTGCAGCATGATGATAATTTTGATACAGTGCTATGCGTTCTCTGAATAGAAAATTGCAATGGTACCTGCGCATCTTACTTACTTTGAAACTAAAAAATGACTTTTTGGAGCATAATAGGACGCACATTAATAGTAAAACACATGTTATACGTCTTTGAAGTTTTTTACTGGCTCTCGCGAACAAATTGGGTTTCTGACGGTTGTTGCACAAAAAAAAAAGATTAACATGTGTAAATATTGTCACTAAAACTACCAAAAATCACGCTGAAATGTGCAAAAACCGTTAAAGGCAATGCCAAATCGTGGAATTCTGTAAAAACAGTCAAAAATAACCAAAATCTTGTTAACCGTGCAAAAACCACAAAAAAACGCGCCATGTACTAATCTATGCAAACTAGTCAATCAACTAACAAAATCATTATTTTAATCACGGACCTTTTTCACATATATAAAATTTCCGCTGATTGCAGTCAGCATCCATCCATGTTCCTGTCTTGTATCCGAACTGTGGAAATGCATCAAGCATAAGTAGTACCATGCAATCCTCGCCTCCGTGGTTATTCGGTTCCAAAGGCCCCCAGTTTTGAAACTTCTGTGGGAATTGAAAATAATGTTAGGCAAATAAGTGGAATCGAATTGTGTTTTTAATGGACGCCGGAGGGGTCATGGGGAAATAAAGAGGTAACCACCCCAGACAGCATGCTGTAGGGGTAAGTTTATTGCTTAGTTTGATGATTCAAATAATAATAATACAAACAAGAGAGCTACGCCCAAATATATGGACACGTCTGTTCGCAGTACAGTACGGTTTACCGTACCGTCAGATCACAGTCTACAAATATATTCACACCAAGCGAAGCAGTACAGTAGGACACAAAATGGCGTCCGATGTCCGCAGAACGTTTAATGACGTAATAGCAAACAAAAACAAATCTCACCGAGTTAATAGAAATATTTAAAATGAATAAAATGAATGAAAATTTTTATCTTCAACCACTGAAAATTTCAAAGCAATTGGTCCAGTATTCGAAGAGAAAAGCGGGTTTTTAATATTTCCACTAGGTGTGTTATTCTGTGTCAAATAACAAGAACAACAAGAACAAGAACAACATAATATTGAAACGATCGTTATGTCCACTACGTGTCCAACAATTCACTCTTACTCAACCTTTAATTCATTCATTCTCATGTATAACAACATATTTAATTTGTTTATCTTCCAAATTATTTTAAGTTGCGTATAAGAGGTATCATTATCAGAAAATGGCCCCAAGCAGGAGTCATGGAGGTGGCGAAGGTGGCATAAGGTTAGATCTCATTGATAAATACGGACTGGTTGGGACTCTGACAAATTGGTATAGATTGTGTGAATGGTGAGTCTTGAACCTTGCGACGCAAACATGAGTAAAATCAAAGGAATTATTACACATTCAAATTGTTTATTTCATTTTGCTTAAAATATTACTTCGCTTCCAGGCTTTGGTACCGGGTTCGAATTCTGCCATATCCAGTCCCCCTCGTTTTTCCTATCGTCCGCTCCGACATAGAATCCAGGTTCAAACGGATCGGCTGATTTCCAGTCGGACGGAAAATACGCGTTTGAAGATTTTAGGTGATTTTCGATGGCTGATTGGAGACTAGAGTTGTTAATGACAACAAGTCTTCCTCTCCAAGATTCACAGTTTTCTGAAGCCGTCTCGTACGTCACTTTATCGTGAAATAGTCCAATGTCACGTTTCTCGTAATGCAATGATGATGACGGCGCTGTTAATATGAATAAAATTTATTGCAATCGGCAAATACTGAAAGTCAGGTGGCGTAGTGGCTCCGCCAACTATTCCTTTAATTATTAAAATACTGACTTGGCTAATTTCGTAACTGTTCAAAGAATCAATAACGACTTTAATGATTAAATATCCAGAACAGGGCGGGCATGATCAAATAACAAATATTTTTATTTTCAATTAGCTCCACGCCCAATCATAAATAGGGACCTCCAGAAGTATGTGCACCAAGATGGCGCACAACCTGAACATAGTATGTGTGTACCGGTTAGAGTTCAGGTTGTGCGACATCTTGGTGCGCATACTTCTGGAGCACCAAAAATTGTTATGTGGCGCTCCCCACCATTTGAAACAACTTATTTAGATAAAAAAAAATCAACAAACCTTTCAATGAAATAGCAACTCCAGAAGTATGTGCACCAAGATGGCGCACAACCTGAACATAGTATGTGTGTACCGGTTAGAGTTCAGGTTGTGCGACATCTTGGTGCGCATACTTCTGGAGCACCAAAAATTGTTGTGTGGCACGCTCCACCATTGGAAACAACTAATTTAGATAAAAAAAAAAAATTAACAAACCTTTCAATGAAATAGCAATTCGAATTTCTAAAGACAATAAAATGAAATATTGAATCTTTGGACCCAGCATCGTGCTACTCAGCTAATGTATTCATGAGACTGAAAATAGAAATATTGAATGAAAATGAGTTTGGTTAAAATATCTTCTATGTCATTACATTTAAGTAATATATCATATCTTGAAGTTTGTTATAATTTTTGCATAATTGTTCCAAGAAAGGATTTACATTCTAAAAAAATATGATCGATACATTTGGGAATCAAAATAATAATAGCAGCAACAACAATTTAAATGATTCTAGAATAAATTCACTTCGCGTCCAATAATAGAAATTCTCTCTCAAACGTCTGAGCTAAAACTACCAGAACAACATTGCTTCTAGAAAATAAAGAGGCAAATTCGTGGATTTCGGGAGATTTTTCTGATTTTGACAAACTTCACGAGTCAAAACGCCAAATTCCCCGGAATCAAATTGCACACTGTGGCAGTTTTGACAAATTTTTTCAAGTTCTATTCTTACAGCTATTGTAAGCTCTGACAAGACACCGTGTGACCATTTAGCCGTCATCCTTCCTACTCCAAGCGAAAGTCTGAATATTTTTTATCGTTTCTATTGGTTTTATTATGAATCTTCGCCTGAAAGGCCGATGAAAACAAACGATGTGATTGTAAAAATACCCGAATCTATTTTTGCAAACAGTTTATATCGCAGTAATTGTTTGTGGTTATGCAATACAATCACCTTATGAAACCCTTATGACATGATAAAGTTCACGGTAATGGATTATGGTTATGCGGTTTTGGAATGACATAGCATAAACCGATACTTTGAGTTATACAAAATATATAAATGCTTGTCTGAATAGCTAATGAAAACAAACTATTTTATTTTGTACTATTTCTAAAATACCCTTGTACTATTTTTACAAAGCATTCAGATCGCAGTAATTGATTGTGGTTTTGCAATACAAACAACCTTAATGGAAAAGTAATTGTCTGTTGTGGGCGGCGACGCTTTATTTGTGTTTTCTTATTTGTTTACTTAGTCATGCTAATTTAAATAACAGCAACGATTGCTCAAAAATAGTTTGTGCTAGATTTCAAGAAATCCTGTTCAATTGGTGTTTGCTGCGCACGATAAGCTACCATAATTTTAAATAGCATCGGTTTCCTAACTTTTTGTTCGTCCGCGCCAAATTATCAGGAACACACTCACAGCGCACTTTTACAAAAAAATGCTTCTTTTAAATAAAACTCATTTCTGTGATCGTTAATGCTTACTTTACGCCTTTTAAAGTTTGTGAAAATGAAAGCCTAAGGAATGAGGACAAAAGGTTAATTGTTCCTTCTCGTCTCTGCCTGATTTTCCTTCGAAATGTTAAAAAAATCGCTCATGTTCGCTAAACTCGGTTTAGCAGATAAATAAACTGCAGCTCTCTATTGCAGCAAGCAGTGTCTACCTCGATTTTTACGTAACAATAGAGGATGACACTACGTAAAGGGAAGTAAACGGCATAGAAAGGTAAAATTAATTCAAAAAAATTATAATAAATACAATATGTAAAATATTCAAACATATTTTAGTTATGTTTAACACAATTATGTTATTTAATAAGTTTAATACCAAGTATAGAATAAAACAATGAAATTTACTAGAAATAAAAACCAATGGCTTTATATTTTTGTTAAAAATGACAAGCGATTTAAGAGCAATTCTACGCGAACCAATTTTGGTTCGCTATCTTTTGGCTGGGTAACACTGCTTTTAGTTGTAGCCTGACTGCCCTGATTTGGTTACACCGTAATTCAAACCTAAACTTATGTCCCACTTATGTCTCAGGTGAAAATGGGTACTCCTGAAGTATGCGCACCAAGATGGCGGACACCGGAACGTGTATGTGTGCCAAGTTGGGGTTAGGCCATAATTTCAGGTACAAATACTACGGAAGTCACTTGGCTAGTCCCCGAACAAGTAATAGAACTAAAATAAGGAAAATTGGAGTAATATTATGGCCTAACCCTAACCTGGTACATATACTACGTTCCGGTGTCCGCCATATTGGTATGCATACTTCAGGAGCACCTAAAAATGTACCCCAAGTAACACTTACATCTGCCACACCAAAATCTGAGAATTTGAGTTGTAATCTCCTATTTCTACAACGTTAAATCGCTGTTCAGTCTATACGGCATATTAACGAAAATCCGTGTATTCATGCGCGGTAACACATGAAAAATGAAACCATTTTAAGCAAACTACCTTATTTGAGGCTATTTAACGCGAAGATAGCGAAGATTTATACACATTACTCCTAAAAAAATGAAATTATTTTCAATAAATTCAGAAGTTCATAAAATGCGTCATGTGATACTTATATTGATCATATCTATAGATTATTTGTTATGAATAGGGCTGAAAGATTAAACATTTGTCTAAATATAGAAAGACCAAACATGTAATGAGCAATTCTCATGGCCTGCTTTTATGCAAAGTAATAGCTATAAAAAATTGTGATTAAGGTCATTATGTTGTGCTTATTATTCGTCAACTTTGTAACATGTACATTTGTTTTTTCTGTGATATTATGGTAGTAACTATTTCTCTTTCATGCCTCTATTAAGTTATCGAAAAACCGAAATTCGCTAAATTTATTATGCGTAAGGAAAATTAGTCATTAGATAAAAATCGAACGAGTTTCTAAAAAAAATTGGATTTGGAGCCTTTTAAACCATCAAACTAGGCGCAATATCCCCACCTACATCATTATTTGTAATATGTAATTCCCAGACAAGCGAAATTTAATCAATTACCTATCTATGTTAAATAAGTTTCAAAGCACTTTCCGAAGTTAGGGCTCGACTTTCGATCCAATCGGAATTGGATGAACTCTTCGAAACGTGTTATATTTCTATTTAGATTTGGAGAATGTGAAAATCTATGAACTAGTCATTTATAACAAATTAGTCATTAGATCAAAATCAAACGAGTTTATATGAAATTGCTTTTTGGAGAGATGTAAAAGAGGAAAGGAGAATCTTATTGGTGAGTCATATATTTTATAATAATAACTGATGATCCTGATCAAAGTGTTCGAAACCAGTTTATCTTGTAATACACGATTACGATTTTGGAAAGAAACTCAATTTTTTGTGTGGCCCAGCTAGATGGCCGAAGTTAGTTATATCGCCCACCGACAAAAATGTTTTACACCCTTGCAATAGATCATGGATGGGCAAGAGTTTCAGACCAGGGGCCAGAAATTTTGCCTACTTAGACTGTCGGACCATGTGAGTGTGACAAAAACGTTACATTTCATGAAAAATTTTTACAGTGGAAAACAATAAGCCTCGCGCCAAAACTAAGTTTAATCGCAAACTCAACAAATTTCTTGAGCGATTTTATAGCTAAGACATCCAAATTTGATGTTAGTTTTGTTGTGGCAGCATCAGACGGTCCAGATTAAATTACTCAACAGACTGGATTTGGCCCACGGGCCGTAGTTTGCCCATGTCAGCCCTGGATCATCAATTCAAATCATGTTACGGACTAAAATTAAATATTTTGTTTTTTCTACGCACAATTAAAAGAAGTGAAGGTATCCTTGCCTCGGGGCTTCGTGAAGTATTTAAAGCAATTTTCCATCAGTTATGAGGGCGTAAATAAATATGATTACATATATAAATTATATTAGGGAAATCGTGCTGAATATAATTGAAGTAAAAAGTTTGTGCTTGGGGCACCATCGATATCAAGTAAGAAGAAAATTTTGAAGAGGTTGAAAAATACAAATCTTACATTCCTAAGTAATTGAGCTTAAATTATTCAGGTCGCAAAATATACGTCAAAACAGTATAGCACATTAACCATATCTTTTTGCTCGCGATTAATTTTTATGTTTTTTTTTTTGCTTTTGAAAAAAGTTCTTGTACAGTACTTTAAAACATTCATAGGAAGGTTTAAGATGATACAATAAGTACTCTATCCCAACCGGTTTAATATTGAAGTCTGTGTCGTCTGACCAAACCGAAGTGCTTTATTTAACACTGATACAATCGTCTATAGGAAATTTGGTACACTCGTAGTATGTGTACCAGGGTAGGGTTGGGCCATAATTTTATTCCGATTTTCGCTATTTTAATTCTATTACGAGTTCGGGGACTGTCTTTGTTAGCCAAGTGAATATACCCCCTGCCCATAAGTTTCGGTCCCTTTACACAAGTTGATGTAAAGTAGGCCAACAAAATTAGTTACCTCCACTGTCATCAGTATAAAGACACCCAGACTTCTGGAGTGGTTCACAATTTCAAAACCAAATCCATTTCACGGTTCTCGTCATATATTATTAGGTTTCTAATTTCACTTTGATTACTTTGTTTTGAGATAACAAATACGTAAGTAAATAATTTAGGTTACCTTAACGTTGGTCTCAAATCACGATGAAGATATAGACCTAGACTGCTATTCATAATCTATGCAGCTTAGCGTGGTTACATATGATAACCCCGACAACAAAGTGTATTATAACGTCAATTTCTGTGTCATTTCTACATATTCAATAATTATGACGTAATTTTTTTTTAATATGACGTCACTTACAATATTATCACGTCAAGTTGTATCGTAGAGTCGTTATTGGGAACTAACCTTTTGACACGGCGTCTTTCACGCTTTTTTTAGCAAAGTCTGGTACATGCATGCAACCACGAATATCTAACAATTTATGAGAATTATAATTTTGACGTCACTTCCATCCCTCTGCCTTCCTCATATGAACAACAAACGATCGGTTATATATATTGAATAAAATTTATTATACAATGACAAAAAATATACTCAATTAGCGCTTAAATCGAATAAAAAGAAGAAAACGAGAAATAGAATAAACTTTGAAACATATGACAGTGCAAACATGGTAATAAGACGAGACAGTGCGGAAATGTATATATATGTATAAATATGGAGTGTTCATAAAGTCTTGAGATTTTTTTTAAATTGCAAAGGGAATTCATCGATACCCTATATTGTTTTGGCTCTCGCAGATGTATTAAAGGAAGTAAAAATACTTAAACATTCACTGATTGAAAACTAAAAACCTGGTTGAGATATATTTAGAACAGACTTCATAACAAAATTTGAAATTGTAAAGGGACTTTATGGACACCCTGTATATATGTGTTGGTGTGTGGCAAAGCTATTTAATCAATTAAAATTAGTCTTAGCATATATATGAAACACAAAAATAGGACAGTACGGATTGGACAGATCTTGGTTTGATTCCGAGGATTAGTAATATTCAACTCGTATGAATATTAGAAATATTCAAATAATCAGAAAACGTGCATTTTCTTTTAGGTATTTTGAATAATTTAATGGAGGACGGCTAAGGTTAGATGTTAAATTAGCGTATCAAAGCAAAGGTCAATAAAAAACAGAAGGAAAGAAGTGATTGGGAGCATCTACCGCCCATCAACAGCCTAATCCTAAAATCGAAGAATACAAAAAAAAATTTTGTATCGATATTAAAAAAAAAAAAAAATATGACTGCCATACCGCATGACCGGAACATTTAAGTATACCGGACGGGGCGCCGGGACAGCTTATCAAAATTATGACTGTCCCGGCTAAACCGGGAGTATGGTAAGCCTACTTAGAATTAGAATACTTACTAACGCTACAGCATCCTTGCATTGTACACATACGGACTTGAATAACGCTAACAAGTCCAGCATTAGTATTGCAAAAGTAATAAGATCGGCACGTATTTCGCTGTTGCCATGGAAACGAAACTTTTATTTAGACTTTTGATGAAGCGCACATTCCAAGAGTGACAAGATAACTCTCGAGTGACGTTGCAGCTTCGACACACAGACAGACAGACAAACGGAACGACCGAAAATAAGAGTCTCCCGGGTACTCCTGTAGTATGTGAACCAAGATGGCGGACACCGGAACGCAGTATGTGTACCAGGTTAGGGTTAAGCCATAATTTCAGGTACAAATACTACGGGAGTCACTTGTCCACGAATTGTAATAGAACTGCAATAAGGAAAATTGGAATAAAATTATGGCTTAACCCTAAACTGGTACACATATTATATTCAGGTGTCCGCCATCTTGGTTCACATACTACGCAGCGCCATCTCCCGAATACGGTTCGAATCCGGATAACGCTAGCATGTCTAGCATTAGTACTGTAAGTAATAACGCAAGCCTCGCAGCTTTGATTCAATGTTTACGTCGTTTTTCTGTTGCAAGGTCGAGAAATTCAATCCAAATGTTTTAATTTTGCGTTGTTTTTCCGTAGCTTGCTTCAAGTAGATCGAGTTGTCGTTTCCCTGCTTCTGAGTTCCCAAACAAACAATTCCTTAGGAATAGACTAATTGACTTATAAACGTTCAATTCGATTTTTCTTGCTTCGTTTAAAAAAGTTGGGGAGGAAGGGTAGTATTGAACTTCTACCGCCTCTAGTGGTAGATCACTCAGCATTGCCGCCTTTTCAAGGAGTACTGACTGCTGCATGTTGACATTTTCTGTGAAATAATAAAGTATATTTCATTGCACTTTTTCGTGGTTGTGGATATTTTAGAATTTTAAAGAAAAAAAATCGAAAAGACCTGTTTTGACTGTGGTGCTTGAAGCCAACTTTTTTGTTGAAACTGCGACTGCCTAGCATATACCAGGTCGCCTCGTCGTACCTTGTTTTTTCAAATAGCATAATTTTGTTCGTCTTTTTTCTATTTTTCATGTTCTGTTAAATAGACTGTCTCAAGGGTGACGCCACTCGACAATCAATATTGGTTTTCGGCGTCTCCTCTCACCCCGAATTGCAATTTACTTTATTTCTTTGATTTTATGTACGTATATTTTGCATTTTCAGTATGTTGAAGAAATAAATTTCCGATTGCTGGTTATTTTTTTACAGTTCCCGAATGTGAAATTAGTGGTAATGTTGTGCGCCAATTGCATAGAGTCACTTTTATCAAATAAAAATAATCTTAAAAATTTCTTAAAACCAGAAATCAAATATAATCAAATTCAAATGTATAATATATTGCATGGCGCTTTTTTGTAGACATGGCTATTTTAGAATTGTGATTAATCAATATTTTTCTTTTCATGGCCAGCAGTAATGAATGCGCAAGTTGAAGATCTCGGCTCCAAGCTCAATACTCCCCACGGAAATATAAAATATAAGGATATAAAAATTAAAGCATAGCAATTCTTTACTTATCAGTCTGCTCAGCCTGGCTGTCTGCTTGTCTGAATCCCTATTATAAGTAGGGCTGGGCATTTCGAATTGAATATTCGAATCGAATCGAATATTAAATTTTTCAAATCGGTTCAGAGCTAAATTTCGAATCGCCGCCATCTTGTTTTTATCTTGGTGAATTCTCCATTTTTTTTTTATTGGAGTCATATTTTTTCAACGAAATTCTAACATATGACTATTTTCTGTAGTGAGTTATTGATAAAACGTGTTTGTTATTTTGTGTGAACGCTCAGTAGTAATCTATCTGAGTGATTTATTCTTTATCTTCAGTAATTCATTTGTTGAGAGGACCAATTACTATAATAAAGTCGCTTACGATTTAAATCAAAGGTGTTCGGAAATGACCAGCAATAATTATAAGCAAAATATCTACCATCCCCCTAAATATGAAAGCACTCCACCCCTTCTTCTCTAAAATGAAAAACTGGGGAACATACCCATGTGGGTTGACTTGAGACCTTGAGGCCCGGGGCCTCCAAACTGATTTTGTTTTCCCTCTAGAAGAAAACACCCGTTCATCCTAGTTTCATTGCATGACAAGGTTATTTCACGGGATGTTTCCACTTTGTTGAGCATGAATTGTTTGAACATAATGGGATTTGGAATCCACCAATCAAAATAGCACTAAATGATAAACAGGGGACCAAGATTTGTGAAAGCCTCCGAAAAGAGAACCCAAGATCTGAAAGGTTGAGAACCACTGCTATAAGGTTTTAGCAACTTGTCACTTTGCCATGACCAAATCTTTTTGATGAAGACGTGCCCAAGAAAATGACAACTGGCAAGCAAACACACACAATTTTCACAAAAATTTTCTAAAGAACTTACTGTCTTGCAATCCTTGGTAAACCCTTAATCGTGAGTCAGCAATTTCTTCAATTTGATGAATCATGTTATTCTTCTGATAAAGTAAGGAATTCTTCCCTGGGGATCCAAGAATACGTTCCGATCCGAATGAAGCTTTAAAGAGATGAACAAGAAATATTTTTTTAACCAAAAAAATATTAAAGTTATACGTTACTATTGGCATCGCAGGTTACACACCTCGTGTTTAAATCCCTTCCTACGCATATTTAGTCTCTTATACAGAGATTTGTTTAGACTCAGAGCGTACCACTAGAATACTTATATTTACTATACAAAGACCGACCCAAAACTCTCCACCTCCCCACACATGAATAGCTCCTTGTGTGGAGCAGACGACTCGAATCCCTATATTTACTAAACAAATTTCAATCCGCAAATGCAGAGTTCTGCATAACCTAGTAGCTTCCCGTCAGACGTAGCCATGACTTTTTGAAATCAGAAGGACTGAAATTCTTAATTGTCAAAGTCGGGTCCAGCCGGATGCCCGGAAAATATAGGTTTCAAGAGTCTTTAAGGATATAAAAATTGTTACAAGATTGCTATGTATCATATAGAAAACGTTTTTTTTTTCACATTTCAAAACAGGGGTCCGACTCTCAACCCCACCCTCCTGGGTACGCCACTGCTCCCAACACATGGATTACTTACTTCTACAGAGCCTTTTTCAAAACCTACTATTCAAATCGTTATACTTACTATATAACTTCCAATCCACGACCGGTGATCTCGCAACTGCGCAAATGAACTCTGGATGAGTGAGAGCAAGTATTGCAGTGTATCCTCCATAACCTGAAGTGCCAACGATTCCAACATTCTCAGTGTCTATGTTCTCTTCAGGTTTCAAGTATCTGTGTAAATTGTACAAATAAAATGAACTGGGTATCTTATGATGTTTTCCAAAGCATCGATTTCCTTGTTTATATCCGTAACAATACCCAATCAGCAAAATGTCAACGATGACGTAACAATTGTAATTTTTGTATCGGTATGAACAGTATAAGTGAGAAACGTTTCTTGACAGTAAAGGGACATAGACTACTCAATTTATTGCATTACAAATGAGGTCTTGGGTGCGGGGTTTGCTATCAAAGTACGGGTGTGCGACCTGCGGCCCGCGGGCCAAATAGGACCCACACGAAAAAATTGTGCGGCCCGCGGAGAAGTGTCAATTTTGAATGGTGTGCGTCCCGCGAAACGAGTTTTCATTTTAGTTTAATCTGGTACGTGCGAGTAATTCATTCGCATTGCAAAGCTTATACCTGAGTTCAATTAATTATTTAGTATAAACGAAATGAACTGGGTACCTTATAGAACAGGGATGGCGAACCACTGATCCGCGGGTCACGAAGTGACCCACCGCGTTTTATTCGTGACCCGCCAAGGCACGAATAAAATAAAATACTAATATAACAGTGATAAAAATTGATCAGATCGGCCTTAAATTAATCTAACAATAACTGAACTATTAAATGTACCGTCAGTTTGGTAGCCAGGGCTGCGATCGCTCATACTCAAATTGTTAATTTTCGGGCCGGTATGGTAATTTTCAAAACTCCTAATCTGGATGCCGTGTCTGCACTCTGCATCACTGTGTAACGTTATTCAGCTATTGGCTCTGAGATCGTTTATGACTTAACAATGCAATTGATCTGTTTATTTCTCGCAACATCTCGTCTCTTTCGGAGGTCCATTTGCAGACTGTTTTAGGGGTTATACGAGAACCAGATGCTACTTTGCAGTTTATTAGTTTCTCGCTTACAATGCGGTTGAGAAAACAAAATCTTTCAGACTTGAAATAAAAACCTAGAAATCTGAAATAACAATGGGGCGGTACAAAATGCCCTAATGTGGTTGAAAGCTGATCGAAAAATATAACACTATCAGAATGGAATTTCCTCCAAACCCTTCGGAACCGTAAAATAATTTGCCGCATCATCCTAAACGTTTTCGTTAACTCATATACGTGTTTTCGTACTCTAATTTCATAAAATCGAGAGCCATAAAAAGTCCCTGATAGAAGTGCTGCATAAATAAAGCCCAAAACTACACCAAGAGAAGATAAGATTTATTTCGAAAGTTTCCTATAGATATAAACATTGATTATATATCTGTGAGTCACTCTATTCTGTTCCGCGATAAAAATATATTTTTTGACCCATTCCTTGAAAAAGGTTCGCCGTCCCTGTTATAGAATATATATGTTTCCCCGAGCATAGATTTCTCTATTTATATCCGTAACAATAACCAATCTACAAAAAGTCAGCGATGACGAGACAACTGTAAGTTTCGTATCTATATAGATAGTATAAATTAAATGAACTGGGTATCTTATGGATGTATCCCGCAGAGATTTGTCCAAATAGAACATCGTTTTCTCTGTTTATTTCCGTAACAATAACCAATCAGCAAAAATTCCGCGATGACATAACAATTGTAAATATTGAAGACATTTCGTTCGCTCAGACAGATATTCAAGCGTATGTAAACATTGCTTTGTTTTTGCCGTTTCTCGTGTTATTTGTCAGTTTTCAGTTGTGAAAAATTAGTTATAAATGAATTATATAAAAAAAAAAATATCCGTTAAAAAAGTCGGCTCTTTTAACAAGTGGCGTATTCGCGACGCAAGAAGACGCGAGTCAAGTTGAACACAATAATATAAAAAGAGATTTTATATTCTCGTAGTTGCGACTGGTAAAATATTTTACGCGACACAAAAGTCATTATACGCTGAAAAAGTCGACTCTTTTAACCCCCTCCCACTTTTGAAAATCCTGGCTGTGCCCTTGAATGCGATCTTGCTTGTTCCAGTCCTTGTTCAGAGTAAAAGTCGTTTTAAAGTCGCATAAAAAATAAGCTGGCAGTCATTCCAGCCACTTGCACTCACTCAATCACTGCTTTCATATCTTCAATCTCAAGGTTGCCAGGTTTCTCTGCAATTGACTGCTGAAGTCGATCTCCATTGTAACCCGACCCTGAAAAAAATTACTTTTTGATGAAATTTAAAATTGCATTATTATTTTTGCTTATTTTCATAATATTCCTCAACTAAAAGTTTTTTATTGGGGTTTTTACTTTGGGGCTAAGTTGGTCATTTTTTATCAACTGGTGTCCACATTTTACAAAGTGATGCATTCGCTTGAATACGGTTACGGTGTCCACCCAACACGATGAGTTTTTAATAAGATGACAAGAGGTTCCCAACGTTTATGGCTCGTGGCCTCCGTCCGGTGGGTTTTAGCACTCATGACTTCCGTTTATCATTCCAGTAATATTTATAGTGTTATTTTGATTGGTTGATTACAAATTCCATTATGTTCAAACAATTCTTGCTTAACAAAGTGAAAACACCCCGTGACATAACGTTATCGAGCAATAAAAATGGAAAGAACGTAGAGTTTTCTTGTGAAAGAAAAGTAAAACCATTCTTGCGCCTAGCATTATCAACCACTACAAACTGCCTCCGATTGGGAACCGCTGAGTTAGCCCCTTCGAAACTTTGGTACAAGCAAACTTGCATGGGAAACTATATAGTTCTTACAGCGCCAGCGGTCACTTATAATTTCCACACGTACATTTTTGTGTCCATGAACTCATATATATTAATTACCTCTGTAACTCCTCTATCAGCGCTATCCCCGTTATTAGTTGAACGTTGGGGACTTTTATTTGTGTATAACACCTAGCGCATCAATTTTCAACTCTTTTGATCAACTCAAAGCCTTGTTTTGAGTTAGAAGCATTACTAGACTTATGGGTGCAATATAGACATGCTCTTTCCACTATTAGTTGAATGCTGGGGTCCCCGGGACCTTGCTTTGTAACGCCTATCGCGTCTCTTTTCAATTTTGTTACAATTTTTTTGAAGAACTTGGAACCTTCTTTGAGTTAGGAGCATGGCTAGATTTATGAGTGCAATATAAACATACTCTTCCCGCTCTAAGTTGAATGTCGGGGTCCCTATGGACTTTGCTTTGTGTGTAATGTCTAGCGCGTCACTTTTAACAATTCTTTATTAATTTTTCAGTTGAGAGAGCGGAACCTTACTTTGAGTTAGGAGCATGGTTTGACCTATTGGCGCGGCTCTCCCGTAGTGTGTGTATCAGGTTAGGTTTAAGCCATAATCTTATTCCGATTTTCCTTGTTTTAGTTCGTTTACGAGTTCGGAGACCGTCTGTGTTAACCAAGTGAATATACCCCCTGTTCATAGGTTTCAGTTAATTTACACAACTTGATGTAAAGTAGGCGAACAAAATTAGTTGCCTCCATATTGGTACACACACCTCTGGAGCGCCATGAGCGCTATATACCAGCGGGTAAGAACGACACGTTAAACTATGTATCGACATGTACTTACCCCTTCCATCAACGAATGCAACCACTGCTCCCATACTCCTCACAATATATGAAGCCAGGCCGACTTGAAACTTGAAATCAACTGTTTGAGAACCGACATCATTTCTAAATATACAACGAAATACTAGTAAGCTGACCTATGGAGAAAAAGACTAACATAGGGGCACAAAGCAGCATTGAATCCGCCCTCTCCGCACATACACACACACACACGCACACACACACACAATGGCACAGCTTATACTCTGTTAGGTATCTCTATCTTACCCTGGGTATCTGAGGGTTTTGTTGTGAATTTAACTTATTTACAATGGGTAATTTGTAGGAATTGAATAACATGGTATTAAACATTCGAAGCGTGAGGATATAGTTCACAATAGCACTCCTGAATATACAACAAACAAAAAAACTTGTAAGCTTACCCTTCGTGAAAAATACTAATGTAGGATTACAAAGCAGCTTCAAACCCGCCCGCCCCCCTCTTCATACACACACACACACACACACACACACACACACACTGGCTAAGCTCATGCCATGCCTTGTTATAAATGCCATTTAATCGGATATTTATCGGATCTTACCCTGGGAATAATTCAGGATTTAACTTATTCACAATGAGTCTTTGGTATGAATTGAATAACAAGTGCATTAACATGACATTAGGCATTCGAAGCGTGAGGATTCACTTTTTACCGGAGTGGGTTACTTTGGGTACGCTTTAGCGCCGCCGTTCAGGTATTTGAAAATCTGGAGGATACATTGTTATCCACGAATCTGTTAGTTCAACTTTGACCTCGACACTCGACTTGTCGAAGTTCAAAACTTTTGAATTTATTTTGTATTAGAAATTCGAAGTTTAGAATTGATGCAAAACATTAATATTTCTTTGCAATAAATAAAAATTAAAAATACAGACAGTAATATTATTCAATTTGTAAAAATATTGAAACTTACTTGAAGAACACAAGAGGTCTTTTACCCGCATGAAGGCTCGCTGGAATTAGTAGTTTTGTCTTTATTGCTGAAAAATAAAATATAAATAAAGTAAAGAAAACGATGCAAAAAAGTCAGTTTTGTTTGAGAAAATTTTTTATGTGTTTTTCTGGCGCTCCAGAAGTGTACGTACCAATCAATAGGGAGATAACTAATTTTGTTCACCTACTTTATATCAAGTTGTATAAAGCGACTGAAACCTATGGGCACGGGGTATATTCACTTGGCTAACACAGAGTCCCCAAACTCGTAATAGAACTAAAACAGGGGAAAATGGATTAAAATTATGTCCTAACTCTGACCTGGTACACACACTACGGGAGCATTATTTCCCATTCTAGTACTGAGAAAGAGTAACGTGCGAATCCTTAGGTATGACTTTCAGGCATTGTGCCTCATCATAGGCTTTCAATTTTATAGTTTTAAGATGTGTATGCGACTACGTGCTCGAAGTTGCAGGGAGGTCAGCGTAAATGTTAGTCGGTCACGATTCAAACTAGGGTTGTGCAACCTGTGGCCCGCGGGCCAAATGCGGCCCACAAAGGAAAATTGTGAGGGCCGCGGAACGAGTTTTCAACTTAGTTTAATCTGCTATGCGCGAGTAATTCCAAGCTTACCTGGGTCTATGCTCACGACGTTACAGTGACCTAACAGTTAGTCTGGGCGAAGCGAACAACCCATGCCATAAGATCAATAATCAATAATTTTGCGCCTGAAACCCATGTTGAAAAAAGATGCGGTCGGCGATTTCATCCTGTTGTTTGTATCTGGCCCTCCTGCATTAAAGGTTGCACACCCTTGGTTTAAACTACCAATTAAATTAGTGATGTTCAACCTTTTTTGGTGTCAATATTCCAGAGGATCGGGGAAGCCCTGTGCAGTAGTTTATTCGCATTTCCTTATCTGAATAGTATAAACCGGGGCAACTCAACTGGAGGGTCGCGGTCGGAATCCGGACTCTTCAAATATTCGATTCGGTTAGCATCTGCTTCTTAATTTTGTTGCATTAGCCTCATTAACTTTGTTTGTGAAAGTTTATTTTTGCTAAATAACATTTTCATTTATATTTTTGAGGTTAATTTATTTAATATTACAACGGGCGTTGAGGATGTTGAATTTTTTGCGTTACTCATTTTTGAGACGCTTCTCTGTTTAAACCTGTAAGCTCTAGGCACTGAAATATAGTTGGGCGCAACGTAAAATTTATTTTTTTGAAAGACCGGACATCAATATTTTTGAAGTTTTGTTTCCGGATCTTTGGTGAAAATAGTTGAGTAGCCCTGGTATAAACTATGAAATTATATTAAAACAAATCTAATACTGGCAAAACAAAATGATCTTTAAAGTTTAAAGTGTAGCAAGTTTCATAATAGTGGCGAACCCAATAGGTATTAGCTATTTTTTTCAAGTGTGGCTGCGTCGAAGGTAGCAAACATCAAGGGAATGCGGTGTTTTTCGGAGAATCAGTATACGCGACAACGTCACAAGAATCTAGTATGTGCGAGTAATTCCAAACGCTGCGTTGCAATGTCTAGTGCAAAGTGACTAACGCAAGTCACAAGATCAATAACATAAATTTTCGTGTCTGCATGTACTAGATAGCCTATGTTAAGTAAAAGTGCGTCTCGCGGTTTCGCCTGGTTGTTTGTATTTATCCCTAAAAGTTGCACACACCTGTCATAGACTATTGAATTTAAAACTGTTACATAACTTCTGAATTATGTCGCGCAAACCCGGTTGAAAACCATAATAGTAAGCTTAGGAGACTGCCCCGTTGCTCAACGTATTATGTTTCTTTTCCTAATCCCAAATAAAGCACAATACACGCTTTCCTGCGTTCGTTCAACGGAAAAATAATAAAAATTCAAGTAACTTACCGATTCCGTTGCTGTAAATCGTTTCATATCTTGCGAGTGGAACAATCATATGCGCCAATGATTGAATAGAAGGTTGTGTGACACTAATCATCGTATTTGAGAAATTTTGCGCATTTGTACGGATGATACCACTGAACGGTAAACACGGACCTGAAAGACAAAAACAAAATTTTATTGTTGATAGCAATATCTGAAAAAGCTATTAAAATTAGAAACAAATTCATTTTCAATTACAAATTTTGCCTTAAAGATTGTTTTCTACCCAGAATTGGCCCGGCTCAATTCTTCATGCATTGGTTCCCAAAACAGGTCAACACGGTGAATTATCAACATGGAGCTTGGGGATATTACGACCCGCTGGCTGGATCCGGCCTACTGTAGTTTTTCATCCGGCTCACTTGTGTCTGCTGAAATTACGACTATAGTTTTTATGGGTATAAATTTCCGTCGGAAACACCGAGGAAAATAACCTCATACTGACCCTGATTGGTATATTGTGCTTCAATCGTCAGCCTAGCTTTTGTACATGAATTGCTTTTTATTCTCAGTTTTTCATATAGAGTTTCAAGCCTCCGTCCATAACCTAGTCAATTATTTGTAAATGGCCCCCTTAGGAAAGTAATTGCCCACCTCTGATATAGTGTGAAATAGCTTATAAAAAGAATAAACACTAACCCAGGCACCGTATCATGAACCAATCAGAACTGTTTCCGAAACTTGCGTCATAATAGAGACACCTCTTTTTCCCGCCACAAGTTAAATCTTCATTGTCGTTAGCGGAAGAGAGCGAACTGATATTCACAGAACAAGTTAAACATTTTCGAACTCCGCTTATATTCACTCGATAAACGTGCCTTGATCCGGAATGCTGTTCGTTGCTTATGTAATATACTAATCGTTTCGGGGCGTCGTAATGTAGCAGCTTTGTAACCTCCCAATTTCCGTCTGTGAGAAATCGCACTTTTGATGGTTTCTGAATGGAGAAATGCTGTTGTTAGATAAAAATGTGTAATCTTCTACAATATGTTATCACTTGTGTTTCTGTGGGACTGACTACTTATCCTTCTCCTATGCTTTTGTATCTGTGGATCCGCATGCAATATGGTGAGAGTAAAGGTGAGACTATTCAGTACTCCCGAAGTATGAGTACCAGGTTAGGGTTAGGCCATACTTTAATTCCGATTTTCCTCATTTTGGTTCTATTACAACTTTGGGGCCTGTCTGTGTTAGCCAAGTGAATATACACCCTGCCCATAGGTTTTAGTTCCTCACACAAGTTGATGTAAAATAGGCAAACAAAATTAGTTACCTCCATATTGGTACTCATACTCCAGAAGCGCCGACCATTCTAAGTGAGTCTCGCTACAAACTGCAACTACAGCAAGACTTTTGAATCACCCCTCCATTAAATCCGAAGTAATCGCGCTGTGTTCTAACAAAAGCTTGGTTCAAACTTATATTATATATGTACGATCGGACTATAGAGAAATAATTTGGGCAACTTTGTTTTTAAATATAGATATGATACATTGAATGTCATGATGGTACGCCAAAAACCGTTATATATGATTTGATTGGTGACCGTACATTTGAACCCATGTACATTTGAACCCATGCGTATATCCACGGGTTCAATCTATATGCGGGTGCTAAAACCCATGGGTTAGGGTTAGTATGGGTTTAACTATCCGTGAAACAAAAAAAATTCCATAGGTGCAATAGCATACAGGTGCAATTGTCATGGGTTCAAATGTACGTGGGTTCAAATGTAATGGAACCGATTTGATTATTCGTGGTAACTCATTGGAACTGCTTTCAAATTAACAGCCCACCTAACCTTCTGAAATGAAAAAGAGCGCTAGCTGAAGCGGTTTAAATCAGTGGGTTCTCAACCTTTTTTCTTTCGTGGCCCATTTTTTTTGCCCAAAAAGTGTTGTGGCCCATTTACTTTTTATTGCGAGGGAAAAACTACAAAAAAAATCAAGATTTTCCTGCAAAAATAGACACTTTCACCTCAATAATTAGAATGAAAATTACCACTCTGCAGCAAACAACAGCATCGTAATTGATTGCTGCTACAATGAAAGTTGGGACCTCCTGAAGTATGCGCACCAAGATGGCGCACAACCTAAACTCAGGTTATGTACCAGGTCAGGGTTCAGGTTGTGCGACATCTTGGTGCGCATACCTCAGGAGCACCGAAAGTTGTCTAATATGACATAAATAAAACTAGCATTTTTAGATAGCTCTGTGACCCACCACAAAATCTTTCTGCGGCCTAGCAGTGGGCCATGAGAACCAGTGGTCTAAACTGACGATTACAAATTTAAAACCCGACTCTCTCTCCATTTGAAATCGCCTCGCTATGCCCCTGTTGCTTACAATATAGGACTGCTTGTACAGAGCCGTCTTAACAGTGGAAGACACATGAAGCGACGTATGAAACATAAATTACCTGAGTTTTATTGACCATTGCAAGATGGCTGAACTCCCCTTTTCCTCCATGATCGTTCGGTAAAATATGAAAGAACACTGCAGAATTGTCCGATGGTAGGGATGGTTGGTTCTGTTGAAGCAAAAATATCATTAGAGCATTTGTGCATTTCCAACGTTAACAAGGCTCTATGTATAATTTGTTTATCCCCGAATTATTCCGGAAGTTAGGTATAAGGGGCATCATTATCAGAAACTTGACCAGGGCAGCAGAAAAGTGAAAAGTTTGACACGTTCCTGAACAAAGTTAAATCCATTGCTCTAATGACTGGGTGAGCGATTCCAAACTGGAACGACTACAGCTCTTCTAAATTAATCAACTCTTTGAATACCAGTGTATTCTGGTAACCACGGCTTTGGTCTGAGTGAGGGTGGGAGTGAGAGTGGGGGTTAAGACAACGTATGAAAACATTTGTTGAAATTTAGACTCACAAGGTTATTTAGCCATCCTGCTTTAGTATTTGGCTCTTCGTTTTTGTTGGGGACAGTTCGTCTGAGAACGTTATCCATGCATGTCGAAATATTTGAAAAACATTGTTGCGTCACACTTGCTGTCATTGTTCTATTAGACCACGTGATCAAAAGTTCGTCGTCATTTAACCATGTGAGAGAATTAAAAGTATCGAGTCGTTCGCTGTAAAAAAGAGAGCAATGATAAAATATGTGCACCGAGCGAATATTGGGTCTCGTGGGACTCTGATGAAATTTGGAAAAGGGAAATGGTTTCTAGTGTTTCTACATTTCTATTCTATTTCTAGTGTCCCTCATCTGCCCCACTATTACAAACATGTTCCTTACGCACAAAAGATTTTTTTTGTAAGAATTGGCATTTCTTCACGCAGGTAATCTGCGACGATAATCTGAGATAAGCGAACAGTCAAGTCAAGATATTTTTCATGCCTAATACAAATAAAAAATAATCAAATTGTTTTTGTTTTAAATGACGTTTCATTCTTCACGCCAAACTAGATCATCCGGTTCAGATAAGCTTACCGTACGTATCATCCAAACAACTTTTTGTTTGCGTTTATACTCGCTAGCCCCTGGGCCCGCTACGTGTTAAGGACAAATCTTCACAATTAAAAATTTCAGACTCCCTCCCCCATTTTTAAATTTTTGGCTACGTTCTTGGATTAGGTTTTTATTCCGTGATATCCAGCGATATCGATAAATATACGTTCAACGTTCTAACTTCACAAATAGAGCATTTCATTTGGTTTTCAGGCCAACAACCTGTCCCACTTCTTACCCATGCAATGTCGGCTTTATAAATGTTACTTGGTCCAAAGTCTTCATGTCGATTGAATGAATGCTGACAACGGGATTCGGATATCCGGCCTGAAAATAAAGAATATCTCGTGTTACAAGGAATTTTATTTCTTGTGTTTATAATAAAAAGGTTAAATATGTGTGAGTTTATATTTACCTTTCTTTGGGCAATTGGCAGAAACCTAAACGATAGCTTAATTTGCAAAGACTACGAATTGTCGAGGAGCATAGAGAGAAGAAAAACTGCAGACACTAGAAAGCCTGGACCAAACTTTAATACTGTCACAGTTTAGGTTTTGCCACTGTGAGAGTTAGATCAGAAGACCCAAGATTCCGGATTGGTTATTTATCGATGCGGCAACTCAATACTTGAGACATAAAATACAGACATAGAGACATAACCAAAAAGCAGCCGATCTCCAGCCCGGCGGTCGAAGTAGAAAGCTCGAGAAACATTTTCTCTGCACGTGTAACGTGGTCGGAGTCTAATAATACAATACTCAGATCTGACAAAGCAGCATTGATCGAGGTGTAAACATATAAACATGAGAAATATATCACACAACATAAATACCGACACTATGGCCCGTTACGTTACAATACAAATAAGCAAAAAAAAAAGACAATGACCTCAGAGAAAACACTTCCGTCTTCAGCAAAAAAGAGGAAAGAAACTAATCAATAGATGGATGTCTAAGATGTTAATATTTCGGTACTCCCGTACTGTGTGTACCAGGTTAGGGTTAGGCCTTAATTTATTCCGATTTTTCTTATTTAGTTCTATTACGAGTTCGGGGACTGCCTGTGTTAAGCAAGGGATTTTAGAGATTTCAATCATTTTATACAACTTAATGTAAAGTAGGCGAATAAAATTAGTTTCCTCCATATTGGTACATACATTTTTGGAGCGCCGATTTTTCTCAATGACTAATTCCTCAACAAGTTTGCTTTGTGTCCATCAGCATTTATACTTTAAAAATTGTGCTACTTAGGAAATTACAAACACCAAACTACACTACACCAAAAAAATCACAATCTTTATAAAAGTCATAATATAAAGTGTAGCGCCAGAGTATCATGCATCATCTATAAAACCCCCAATAAAAAGAAAACGCCGGCGGTCATATTGAATTAATTGAAGAAGCTTTCACTACTTACTTTCGGATATTTGTACTTTATAGTCTTCTTGTATATTGTGTTATCACTATCATACTCTGTTACGTAACTATCGTGTACATGTCTGTCATCAAACGTTGCATAAGCAAGGTATTGGCCACTTGGCGACCACCAGAGTGCGGTAGAGGATTGAAGAACTTCTTCTGAAAAACAAACAATATATGTATTATACGAGAACAATGTTGAAATAAAGGATGTTCATGAGGACCTTTTACAATTTCAATTTTGTTATGAAGTCAGTTTTCAATATATCTTCACCTGGCTGTTGCTTTTTGAATCAGTAATCGTTGAAGTATTTTTATTTCATTTAATACATCTGTGAGGATCGAAAAAATAAATGGTATCGATAAATTCCTTGTGCAATTTTAAAAAGCTTGGGATTTTATGGACATTTTATGTGCACAAAGGGAGATTATCATAATTTTTGCTGGAAGCGATTGAACAGAATTATTCCAAATTTAGCAGAAGTTGACTACAAGCCCAGGGAAACCGCTAATGGGCACACATAAATATGACTAATATTAGAAAACGACTCTAACTTCAGTCCTGATGATAACAACAACAACATCTAACAAATAAAACCAATTTTGCAAGTCCATCCAATTTGTATTCAGTACCATATTCTTTTAGTGGGAAAGTCCGTAATATCATAAGAATTAACCATTTATGGATTTTGAAACTATTGTGAAACCGCTAGATGTCGGTAGAGGGATAGGTCGCACAGATATATTACTATTCAGATGGCGCTAGAAGTCGCAAGCGGTGCATTAAGTTGGTATGCCGGTCTCAAATATAGATATTTTTAAGCTTTTATGTATTGGTTACATGAGCACAATCTAACACTTTCTGATTATTAAGCTTGGATCATAAGCAGAAGGTCCGCCACTTATCTGTATGTAAAAACTTTTGTACTTTTGTTAAAAAAATATTGATCAAATGTGAATGATTTGGAACAAATAATGAGACCCACCATTACCAAAATAGAACCAAGATTTAATTTTTTGTGGAAAAATAAGCAAACACATGAGTCTCATTAAAGCTCCTGGAAGTCGCAAAAAAATTTGTCCATGCCAAGTGGGTCGTAATGAAAAAAGTTTAAGGAATATTGTCTAGATATTAGGTTTTCCATATTTTTTCGGGATAAAGGAAAGGTAAATCACAAGGTTATCTCTAGATCGGGGCTGTTTAAACATGCAATCTCGACCCCTGATGGGTTGCGAAAGGGCTCAATGGGAGCCGCAGTATCAAGGATTTAAGAAGTTGTAATTTTAAGCAAGCAATTAATAACTTTACCTCCATAAACCCAGTCAGTCATCCCATTCTGATACACTCCCAGAATCCCTCCGCTTGTCAGTTTTTTTCTCCCACTATCTTGCTTTAGGTACAAATCTCCGTTCAATGAATACAATATTGTCTTCCCATTTGGTGTGAAGTCAGCGTACTGAAACACGCTCACTGTTTCATCATGAAGTAACTGTTCTTTGGTTCTAAAAAGTCAAAGTGAACACTGTTTTTACTTTATCGTTTCCATAAGTAAGACAATGTGAACACCGAGTAAAGTTTTTTAGTTCAAAAATAAAGATTAAATTATTTGAACCAGGGGTGGCGGTTGTTTGGTTCTAAAAAGATGAAAGGGAGCACCTTGTCTAGATTATTAGTTCCAAAAACATGAGTGAACACCTAGTCGAATACTTTGATTCTAAAACTAAAACAGATTGAACACAGAGGCAATATCCATGGAATTAAAAACAAGCAAAAGCATACACCGACTTGAAATCTTTGTTCAAGTCAGAATTGCAGAAAAAAATGCACTATGACGATCAGTATCCCAACAACATGTAGAGCATTTCCTATTAGCCTATTTACTGGGGATAAAGTACCCAGCTTACAAGTATTATCATAGATTGATTGAAATGTAATACAGCAAAACAGATCAATGGACATTTCAACCTCACAGGGAGTACATTAGGTTGAGTATAAGGATTTTCCTTCCGTCCTAACCTACCTCAAAATAAATTTTATAGTCAGATGTTGATAATTTGAAGATATATATAAATGTTTTGATTCATATTAATCAACTTGTTGCTAAAATCAGGATCATCCATCACGTTAGCTAGGATTGCTTGGCTTTTTCAGCCGTTGAACAGTCAGAAACATGAGAATATTTGAAGGGTACATAAGCGATCTATAAATTGTCCAAGCGTCATCGATGAACAGAAAGTTCGGGAACCCTATCCAAACGGTTCCATTATATTTGAACCCACGTACGTTTGAACCCATGACAATTGCACCTGCATACTATTGCACCTATGGAATTTTTTTTGTTCCACGGATAGTTAAACCCATACTAACCCTAACACATGGGTTTTACCACCCGCATATAGATTGAACCCGTGGATATACGCATGGGTTCAAATGTACGGTCACCTATCCAAACGTATCAGGGGCTACTTATGCAGACACCTGTTGTGAATGTGCGAAAGTTTCTTTTAAAAAATAATTACTCAGAATAGACATACCTTGTTTCAATATCATAGATATAGTAAGATGCGTTGTAAGAGTAAGTATATATCGGGACTTTGTTGTAGATCAGCAAGGCATATCTTCCGTTGTTTGAGATCTTGTAGTCAACAATGCCGTTGTGTTTCTAGAAAAAAGTTTTTATGATATTTTATTGTGACGATTTTTTGAGTATTTCTCTCTAAAGAAGGATCTGTGCAATCAGGCATCTGTGTATTGTAAGACAGGGATGTCCAACCCGCGGCCCGCATGCGGGCCGCATACGACCCACATGAAGAATTCGTGCGGCCCACGTAAAGTTTTTATATAAATACCGACATATAAACCTATTTAAAATAAATTTGCCTTGTGTGATATCAAATCTTACTAGAATTTAGGCTATAATTTCGCGTGACTCCGCCATAAGAAAAGCTGATTTCACAAAGGCCACTCAACCGTACAACATCTGTGGCGATACAATGAGAATCAAAAGGATTGGGAAGAGTTGTAAAACAACGATGTATGCCTAATATGCCGTAAATCTGTTTCGGGTTTGAAGTCTTATAGGTTGAAATTTATGAATTTGAAGCCTGGGAGTACGCTGACGAACGAAAATTTAACAAGCCAGTTAGTTTTACATTGTGCGGTATCAAAACCACCCGTTGATATTAAACAGTTGTGCAATGACAATCAAAAGCAAGTTTCGAACTAGTTGAAGAGAAAAAATGTTGACTTTATTTATTTTTTCTTTTGATTATTTACGCCAAAGTATGTGCATTTTTTATATAAGGTGAGTTGCATGGTCCCTGGTCTTTGTGTGCATCTTGTGTTCAGAAATCCGCAAAATTTTTGTGCAATTCAGGCGTTTGATTTAGCGACGCTCAAATTCAAACGTAAATCGGAATTGTGTTGAAGTTTTGTAAAAGGTCAGAAAGTTCAAAGGGGGGTTCTGAAATTTCTAATTGCCAAGTTAGATCGTACCAGCTAGTGGTTTCAAGTCTTGAGTTGGACCTCCTGAAGTATGCGCACCAAGATGGCGCACAACCTGAACTCAGGTTGTGTACCAGGTTAGGGTTCAGGTTGTGCGACATCTTGGTGTGCATACTTCACCAGTACCCTTGAGTTTTCAAATCTCCTAAAAGCGTTTCAAGCTACGAAAAAGTGCTGTGTATGATTAAGACGATTTCTTTTTTACATTTTAAAAGAGAGGGTTCGATCCTCAACAGGCGCCATTATTAGTAATAATGGCGAAACTCAGTTTCTTCATAAAACAAATAGTTACCAATGTCTTTCCTGTAATCAACATTCTAGGTACGTCATCAGGTGACGTCATCATGACGACATTTCCTTCTTGATCTTTATATACAAGGTTTGAACCTCGCCAAATTCCTTCATCAATTTTCCATTTTTCTTCCATTATATCAGTCAAATTAACGTTTGGAATGACAGGAAATTTACTTTCTGTATGAAATCAAAAAGAAAAGCTAGAAAAGCAGTCACCGATATCTGATAATGATCGGGCCCTCAATGCTTTTTAGAGGTCCCAAGCACTTAAGATTTTGATGCCTATATAAATTGAAGAATAAGTTTGAAACTAGTGATCCATGTTATCTGAAATTACATATCCTCGCACATAAGCCGAGTTTAAACCCCAAAAAAAGTTGCTAAACTGAGGGATCGGATTATACGCGGTGCCTTGAGCGCGTGCTTGTTTTGCTTAATGGTTATTTTAGCCCTCTTTTTGTACACATATATACATCCTCGCGGTGTCGTAAAATTGTGCATGTCCCAACTCAGTGTTCCCTCTAAGGTGTGCGCGTGTGCGCGCGCACACAGCTTTCAGAGGCTGCGCACACGCATAGATTTACTGCGCACAGACGTATTTCGATGTAATGTAACAATGTGCTCGGTTGGCAGGTTGAGAAAGTTTGTTGTTGGCCCACTTATTTATTACCCGGTTGGAACGCCAAAATTTCTTCATTGGTTTCTGCACAAATATTAGTCATTTCCAAAAAAGTGCGCACACCAAAATTTCTGCGCACACATACTACAAAAAATTAGAGGGAACATTGTCCCAACTGTTCCGCACTTATCACCTTATTATCAAACTTGTCCCACTGTTCTGAGTTAGGATGAATGTTTGTTTATTGATCAACAAACCTTCGTAGTATCTACATACGTTTGTTGTTTGGGCGCTCCCGTAGTATTCGTACCAAGATGGCGCACAACCTGCTATCCCTAACCCGGTACACATACTATATTCAGATTGTGCGCTATCTTGGTACGAATACTACGGGAGTACTGTTGTTTGTACGTAGCCTTCATTGTTCGGAGCATTTGCGTGATATACCCCGTAAAATATTATTAGTAATAATAATTTTACATTCAGCAATCTTGAAAATCAATATCTCTGTACTTTTATAGTTATTCGAAAAAACCTTATATTCTTCGACTCATATTCTTATATTCTTTCTTTTATTGGGAATGTTTGGGCATATGCTGACCACGGGACTAAGCCGTGCTCTACAACTTTTCTGGGTCAGGTGGTGGGTATGGGGTTCGATCCCGAGGTCTTAAACCTACGATGCATAAGTAAGCATCCGCTCCATGTACTTACCCGGGGTCAATAGGACAACTGATAGAACGACGAGTCCGCAAACAACCAGAATCACGAGCAAAGCAATGGCGATTCCTTTCCAATTTCGGCTTTCAGGATTGCTCCCAACAAGCTCCTGAAAAGCAAGAGGAGATAGGATTAAAAATGATGCAAAACACATACAGGTATGTGATTCCCCTTGTGTGTGTGTGTGTGGCGAGCATGTGACTTGGGAGTATGTGTGTGTTTGCATGTGATTGGCTTAACACAGAAAAGTATGTGACTTGGTGTGTGTGTGTAATCGTATATGTGATTTGGTGATATGTAGAACCATTGTCATAATTGCTGCTTATATGTATATACAAGTATGTGACTTGGTGTGTGTGTGTGTGGAATCGTATGTGATTAAGTGATATGTGGAGCCATTCACGGAATCGTTGTTTATATACATATATTGCAAAAAATAAGAAGAAGAAATAAGTTGAAATAATACATAACAGATAAAAGCATGTGATTTTGTGTGTGTGTGGGTGTGGAGGGAGGTGCAGGTGACAAGTTAATATGTATGACCACTGTCAGAAACGTTGTTTATATAGATATATTGCCAAAAATAAATAAAAATGATTTTGGAGTATTACATAACAGATAGGAGCATGTGATTTTGTGTGTGTGTGTGTGGATGTGGAGATGATATGAGGAACCATATTGTCGTAATATTTGGTCATTTTATGAGCGAATCTATATGTGTATCGGAATGTGTATATATGTGTGAATAAATACAGAAAGCTAAACAATACGAGTCATCCGCATACTGCAAATGTGCACAAACAAATTCTCATCTCCATGTTAGGCATTCTTTCAATCTCTGTCGGAAAACAAAATCAAAACGTATGATACAAAATGATTTTTTGTATGTCTGTGTGTGAGAATATGTGTGTAAATAAACACATAAAGGATTACAATACGATTCAACTTTACACATACGAAATCTCTACACTTCTCATTTTATCCTCGTGTATGTGAGTTTGTGTGGATCATTAATAGCAACATGTGACAATCCTTATTTTACACAGAGTTTTTATTTCTCCCTCTATCTCTTTATATGTGTACTATGTGTTTTCGTGTGTGTGTGTGTGTGTGTGTGTAAAAAAAAATACATGAATTATTACAATACAATTCAACTCTATACCCTTCACTTCATCTGTGTGTGTGTGAGTTTGTGTGAATCATTTATTTGGCAACATATATATCACACGGAGTTTTTGTTTTCCTCTCTATATCATTATATGTGTACTATATGTTTGCGTATGTGTATGAAAAAACACATAAATCATTGCCACATGTGTTAATCCATACAGCATGAATACAAACAAATCAATTCCCATCTTGCTGTGGGACATGATTCTAAGCTTACAAATAGAACAAACGTAAAATACTGAACTCTGACTATACGTGTCTTTGTTTGTCTGTATGTGTGTGAATAAACACATAACGCATTGCGATCATTCATGCAAATGAAAAAATCAATTTCCATTCTGATGTTTGGCATACTTTAATCGGAGAACAAAACAAAATGTCAGACACGGAATATTTACGAATCGGTATATGTGTGTTTTCGTGAGTCGCGAGTGCAAATAAAAAATAAACATTACATATTTTAAAAATATATATATATATATATATATATATTCGGTTCCGCATGTATTTCCCAAATTAGTAAACCAAGTTGAAAACATTGGATTCAAACCCAGGATTCCTAACTTGTGATGCAAACAAAGTCAAGTTCAACTCCACATCACTTGCCAAATTTACTAAATAAGTTGGAGGCCATGGGATTCGAACCCAGGATTCTTAACTTGCGGTGCCAACAAAGTCAACCACAAGTCCAACGCTTTATCTACAAGGCGTTCGATGAAGAACAAAACAAATTTTATAATCCTCATTACTTGCCCAATTCACTGAACGAGGTGGCGGACATGGGATTCGAACCCAAGCTTGTTAACTTGTGATGCTGACAAAGTCAACCACAAGTCTAACGCATTATCTACAAAGAGTTCGCCGAAGAACAAAACAAATTATAATCCACGTAATTATTTACGAATTGGGAGGAATCCAAACTTTCCATTAAGCAACGTATTCACAACTTAGAAGAGTTAATCCTGCATTGATCTCAGACTGTTCCAATCCCAAGAGAGAAGAATTGTTGTACTTAGCGCTTCCCTTTGATGAATATATAGGCCATCCATAAAGTCTTAAAATCGCATTTATCGATACCATATATTGTTTTGGCTCTCACGAATGTATTAAATGAAGAAAAAATACTTGAACATATATTGATTTAAAAACAACAAACCTGGTTAAGATATATTGAGAACTTACTTCGTAACAAAATTGAAATTGTGAAGGGACTTTAAAGACAGACACCTTGATGGTACCTTGCTTACATGTATTGAAGATACATTAGGGCAGTGTCCCGCCGAGTATTTTCCTGTGGGCCTCCAATGAATTTCAATTATGACAGTGATGCACAAAATATTTCAAAAATCCAACATCGGATATTAATTTTTTTTAAATGGTTTATGTTTTTATATCAAACGATCATACATTACGTTCCTTTCAACTAAACAAATTGAATATCCATCAACAAGTTTATTGCGGGATTAAATCCATTACAAAATAAAGAATTATACTGAGATATTACATACACGTTTTAGCTTTTCTTTATTCCCAGTATGTTTTGGATAAATTTATTTATTTAAAGCAGCCAAATATTTTTTATTAGAACACGGACTGTCCGGATGAAAATTTGACTATTTTTGCTTTCGCTGTTTTATAGTTTTTTTCAGCCCATTGGCTTCGTGGCTACTTGGAAATTGAATGTAGCTTGTTCTTAAATTTTTCTAATATTTTAATAAATTACGCCACGGCGCTGATTTCCGACTCAGTCAAACTTGGACATATAGCTATCTTTATATTTAACAGTCTATCTGGTCTACACAAGGGCATACACAGGGGTGCGGGTCGGACTCCGTTCTCCCATTTTGAAATGTAAAATAAAAATCATTTTTCGGTATCATACATAACAATTTCTCGTTGCTCAAAACGCTTGTTAGACCCTCGAAACCAACGTTTTCGACCGGTTGGACCCGATAGCTGTTATGTTCTAACTTGGCAAATAGATATTTCAAAGTCCCGCTTTCGAACATTCCTGGCTCCGATCCTGACCGAAGACAATCTTTTTAAAAGTCGAATAATCCTTATCTTTCCGATTTATACTCTCTGATTGATATTTCGCGTGTCTAATCAACATTTTGAATAATTAATGTGATGGCTGTTTTGAATATGAGTCAAATTGTGAATCTTATCATAAAATTATCTAGAATATATACAGAGATGGCTTTAGAAAATAAAATCGCCTTCACATTTAATTATCGTTTAACCAAGTACTACAGCGTTATTGAATGAGAGTATAAATAGAAGCCATGTGCAAAAAACAAAAGACATTGCGTTTCAATCCCGACAAGCATCTGCATATATTGCTGATATGCAGGAAACTACATTTCTCACTGGGTTCGTTTATACTGCAGTGGTTCCGAACCGGGGGTTAGTGGCTCCCCAAGAGAGCCAAAGAGCAGTTGAAGGGGGCCATAAGGCTAGGCGCAAAACAGATTTTACATTTCCTTTACAAAAAATCCCCGATCTCTCCAGTTTCATTGCTTGACAAGACTATTTCACGGGGTGTTTTCACTTTATTGAGCATGAATTGTGCGAATGTAATGGGATTTGGAATCTACCAATCAAAATAACACTATAAAAACCACTGGAATGACAAACAGAAGGACCCATGAGTGCTTAAAGCCTCCAAAAGGAGGCCACGAGCCATGAAAGGTTAGGAACCGCCGGTTCATGGATTACGTAAAGCAACATTAAAACTAGGGAATGACAGTTTTTATTGCATATTAGTTCTTGAACACAACTAAAAACTATTAACTAAATAAACAAAAATCCAAAACATAGAAAAAAAGTACAAGTTTACAACAATACATGAAAATGTGTGTCTAATCTGACGAATAAATTACAATTTTACGTTACGGGAAAGGTATTTCCCATTGGCCCTCGTTACGGAAGTAAACAAGAAAGTCAATGCTCAAACAAATGAACTACGAACCTTTCCATCCTCAGCAGAGTTCTGGCTTCCATTTATTTTCTTTATAGACGAAGGAGGTGGCGGGATGCTGAAATCCTTCATTAATGGCATAACAGCAAACGCAGGAGTGAATAAATTGGATCTTGCGGCTAGCATGATTGCGTTTACTAGTTTCAATATTTGTATGGAAATGTCTAGACTTTTAAAAAGTTCAAGATTTTTTTAAAGTAAATCAGGTTGACACACCCGTCTGAACAAGCAGTAAAGGCCAATATTGCCGTTTTATCTATTATATAGCCTACCGGCAAAAAGTGTTGCACACCTAGGTACTAAAACGATAAAGAATTATGATGGTCGGCGACGCGGCTGTAAATGCGGTTGCCGCAGAAATCGTAGAAACCTTCTTTTACTTATGAGTACTGCATCTATTTTTATGTTAATTTAGACAGGTCTAATATTAAACTGAATTAGTGATATGTTCCGGGCTAGGATATGCACAACTTGCTGATACCGCACACCAAATCGTTCAGACTACAAACTCTTAATTAATTAATTAACTAATCAATCTGAATACCAACGACTTAATAAACAAATCAATATTTCACTTCCAAACCGTTTCAACCTCCGCCTAACTAATACAAGAGGACGATGCTCAAATATAAATGGACACGAAGCCAAAACGTACCGTAAACTTCACGACTAACGCAAACGTAACCGCCACAAGATGCGCATTTTTATATAACACCCTCGCACACAAAAAATCCAAACCCATACGAAAGTTTTTGAAATAAATAAAAATAATAGCATTCTAACGAAAAATACAATCTTCAAGAACTGAAAATTTCAAAGCAATTGGTTCAGTAATTAAAGAGGAAAGCGATTTTTACAACAAGAAGAAAAAAAGAATACTAACAACAAGATCAAGAACAACAACATATTTAACAGAACGACATTCCGCACATTTGTGTCCGATGATTCTATTCTACATTTATTTTCACAAGGCTTGCCAATCTGACGAATATTATACGAAATAACTGACCTAAATGTATCGGAATGATTTGAACGGTGGAGTTTTGGCTATACTGCTAGACAATTTCTTTGTATAGAACTCTGGCTTGCAACCGTTCAACCTGTACTCCTTCTACTTTTATTTATGTCTGCTACTTTTACAAGACTTGCCAACTTGACGAATAAGATCTGAAATAATTGAGCTAAATGTATCGGAATGAATTGACTGCGTCTGACAGTTCCCCGACTGTATCCCTTTCAATATCTCGCATTAACGTCGCGATGAATGAAACAAATACGGCTCAGAAAATTAATTCGCCCAAGAAAGACCGAAACAAATATACTGGTGTAGCAATAGAGGGGAAATTGATGTAAGAAGCAAACAATAGCCAGCGTTTTCAAATGCCTCCTAAGACGCTCAACACTTGCGGCCCATGGCTAGTACCCGAACTCGTAATAAATTGAAATAAGGAAAATTGGGATACAATTATGGCCCAACCCTGATCTGGTACACATACTAAGTTCCGGTGTCCGCCATCTTGGTTCACATACTTCGGAAATATCCTTTGAGAGTGTCCTGATGTATAGAACTCTGCTCCATACAGACACATCTCTATATAAAGACTAAAGAAAACTGAACTAATTTGAGTGGAAAGACTTGCCAACCTGACGAATATGTACTAAAATAAATGAGCGAAATGTATCGGAATGAGTTGAATCATCTGACAGTTCCTTGTCTATAAACCTTTCAATATCGCGCATTAACGTCGAGAAGGGTGAAATAACTAAGACTTAGAAAATGAATTAAAGACAGAGACTGAAAACGCCTAAATAAATTGATTCAATATCTAAATAAATATATTCAATAACTTTAAAATTCGCAGTTCAGGAAATATGAGGTGAACAGTTGGTTAATTAATAGTTTTCTATTCTTATTTTAGAGTTTTTGAGAATTAAATGAAGCCGTTTCAATCATACTGCCTAACTTCAACTGCTCTGAATATAGCTCTGTCTTGCAACTCTTCTATCAATACTTTTCCACTTTAAGCTGACGGATTGCTGACTATTTTTTAATTTAATCAAGCTAATCCGTAATATAATTTAAGCAATGATTCTATTCTTATGTTGACGCTACATTTATTTAATTAATCAAATCAATGAAAATCAATTTCTCATATATGAAATTGATTTCATTAAATATATGTTCCTTTAGTTGGGGATTTTAAAAATATAAAAAATGTGTTTAATATGGCACTTTTTATGACTTCTAATACGGCTCTACAGGGGCGTATGAAAAGGGGATTGAGGGCCTTGGACCCCCATTCCCCCTCAGCCATTCGAAATGTAAAAAAGAGCATTTTTCTATACCCTACATAGCAATTATTCGTATCTTGAAACGCTTTTTAGACCCTCAAACTCTTGAAACTCACGTTTTTCGTTCTTTGGACCCGCTGACTGTTGCGATCTATTTTGGCAATTATAATTATCGATAATATATAATCGTTTGGCTTTGTAACAATCTGACTCCTTAAACAATATGAATTTATTCCGCACTTTTCACTACAAACCGAGCTTTGAACAAACAGCCAACAATGCAAAAGAGCTTTATAATATTTCCTATTTCTTTGGGGGGCTGGCCCAGTTTGATAAGCCGCATTATTTACTTATATATTGGCATGTGTTATTTTAATTACGTGTTCAATTTATTTCTTATTTAGATTAAATATCATTTGCATTTATTTTTCAAATACTGTTTGAGCCCACCTGCGAAATAAGAGTACTCAAAGTCAAAAAGTCTCGTACATTATATCTTGATTTGTGTAACGAAGTTGATCCAATGAAAGCTCACAAAATATACTTGCCATTTTCACGGAAAGAAACTATGCTATTCCTATATCGGCGCGGCGGTGTGGCTCAACGGGCTAAGCGTTAGGAATACGCTCGCCACCGCACCTCTAACTACTCTGCGTGGGTTCGCAGGTTCGAATCCCAAGCAGGGATGGTTATGTGCGAGAGGATTGCTGGACTCCTCGCCGTCGCTGGGTGGTTCACGTAACCTCTGGTCGGTTACGGCTTCCTCCGCCACCAAGTCCATGCTTTCGAAAAAAAATAAATAAATACAGTAAATCTAATCCCATACCCGACTTGGAATGGTAACCGGACGAGAGGCCGTGGTTCGCCATATGGATAAGCCGTCTTATCGGCTTTCCTCTCCCCCGGGATAAATATGTAAATCCTATCCTATCCTATCTATCTAATTCTATCTCGTCCAAGCATCCTTGTGGCAACTGACACATATGGATCCAAAGTAGAAAGTAAACAAGAAGAAAGAACTTGCAGTTCAGTACACAATACCCTAATATCTTCTGTATATTATGAAGGTCCGGAATATTTTCGGTACGGCATTGCCTACTCATTACATCCGGGGGGAGGTCATTTCCGGTATCAACCAGGGTACTTTAACATACGATGCGAATTCTGAATATTGAAGATAAAATGGACCTTTCAATCGTTTTAATAATATTATGTTGTTAAACTTGGTGCTTTTCTTTCCGCGTTGTGAAAAAATCGCTTTTCTCAGTAAATAATGAGTGCTCCCGTAGTATTCGTACCAAGATAGCGCACAACCTGAACATAGTATGTGTACCAGGTTAAGGTTAACAGGTTGTGCGCCATCCTGGTAGGAATGCTACGGGTGCGCCGAATAATGGACCATTTGCTTTGAAATTTTCAGGTTCTATTCTATTTAATTTAATTCTAAATTTTCTATTTTATCCAAAATTTCGGTATATTTATATTTTTATAAAATCACGGTCTTTAATCCGCCAAGCGTGGCGGCTGTTTCCGATTTGACGCGACGCTACGCAAAATTCGGAGATTATTTGATACAGATGGGCGCGGTACGAAAAGTATTTTGTTTTGGAATTCATGTTCAAATATATGAGCATCTTTCACAATATTTTTCCAAACCAAAGCCGCATGAACTCAGTACGAGGTCACAAACGTCCGCGGGCATGCAAGTTATCAAATATTCAACAAGTCGCCATCAGATATTGTCCGGTACGAGGCTTAGTGCATTTCAAGTTAACACGGATCGGAAACAGCGTCAGTAGCCAGATTTATTTGCAATAAAAACAACCGTTGATGGAAGAGCTCTACCATTGGACGAATAACAAATCTAAAAGCTTTTCTCTATACAAGGATGCCGTGGCGTATCTATGTAAAATGACGCCCATGGTGAAGTTTAAAATTTCACCCCCTTGATCGTTGTTTGACAATTTTTAATAATCGTTGTTGTTAAAATGGATTCGGTGTACGGTATTATTTAAGAAAAAGCACGGTCTCATTTATTTTTCAAAACTTTGTACGATTAAAACCTTTAGCGCGTTCAAACAGCACCCAGGTCACGAGCCATGACAACCATACCCTTGATACGCCACTTCCTTCTTAGCTATTCGATCTTACTGCATTATTAAGCCTATCTTGAGATTGAAACCGTGTCTGTGCTCAATCCGGTAATATATCTTATATTATAATCTCTTATGTGGAGTATCTTACAACCTGGAACCCAGAACAGGGCTTTGTAAGCTACTACTTGCAATAAACCGGAATCCTGTCTCGCCTCGAACAACCTGCATCATTACAAACTCGATGCTTCGCATAAGCTAAGCGTCTAATGAACGGTCATATATTAACCTTAGTGCAGCTCTCAACTGCCAAAATAAGTTGCCTCGAATGAATTCCGCGTAATGTTAAACCTGTAAAATGGATTCTGAAATATTAAATACTTAATCTCGGCCATGCCTAAATTTATTCCTTCCCCTTTAATCATTTTCTGAGCCGTATTTATTTCGCCCTTCTCGACGTCAATGCGCGATACTGGAAAGCTTACAGACAAGGAAATGTCAAATGAGTCAACTCATTCTGAGATGAATGCATTCGATTAATATGGAGCGTAATAAGATTGCAGTATACTAAGTATAAAACAAAAATGCTTCTGATATTCTGTACGGATAACTCTTGCAACCTTAAAATATGAGACCATCATGCCATCAATCAATCTTACTGCATTTAAGCTTATCTCATTACGGTCTAACTTAATTATAAATTAAAGTCACCTTCCTATCAAAAATACCTGACTGCCCTTCCTCCCTCCTGTATTTGATAGGTCATCTTACTCTATTAGTAAGTCTATCCATTTTGTTGAAAAAAACAAGTGATCCAAGGAAATTTTCA